TTCTCCTGACAAGAGTTTTTCATTTCCTTGTTATCTACCATGACAAAAGGTTCCAGGTTCATCTTGTACATTTCCTGCCCAGATCTGGAGTCAGCCATTTTTCCAGAAAGCCATAGCTTAATTTAGCATGAAATGTCACTAAAGACCATAATCTAGAGTTAGGGATTTGTCATTATATAAATCTATTGTTGTTGTTATGTGCCGTCGAGTCAAACCCGACTCATAGCGACCCTTCCTTGGGCTTCCGAGGCAGTATCACTACGGAAGTAGGATTGACCAACCTTAGTTTGACTAAATCTGAACTCTGAAGTATAGATCCTTCTCATATGTCTTATCTTTAATATGTCTATGACTTACTCATTTTTTTTTTGTATTTCCAGAGCTTAACTGGCTGCCGATCATAGTGTATTTCATGTAGTATATGAGTTTCATATAGAATATGACTATAATTCTTTGCTCCTGTCTTGTTTGTGCCAGCTTCCACCAACAAGAACAAGTCTATCCAGTCCTTGTCCCCTTTGCCATATCACATCCTCAGAGCAATAACCCTGAACGCTGCTTAACAAAGTTTGAGTTTCTGAACTTTTTCCATCTGGGTAAGGATTTGCCATTCATTTCTTGCCTCTGATTTTTCCTCTTCCATATTCTGTTTGCAGTTTTTAATTTTTATGGCACTTAGGAGGTGGAGTCTCCATGTCTTTCATGTTCTGATCTGGTGGTGAGCAGTAAGTAGTGTTGATCATGCTGATCTCACTTGTCCTTTTTGTTCTTTCTTTAAATGCTTTATATTTAATTTGGAGACACACTTTTGATGGATTGTCAGTTCCTGGTGTCCCTCTGGCTTCCACCAGACTGTATTTTCTGTTTTTCAGTGTCAACTGAGTATAAGATCCTATGGAGTAGGACAGATTTCACTCAGGATTTGATCTGAAGCTGCAACCTTTTCTCATCAGGAAGCTTCTTCCTGTTCAACATTGTCCCAGAGAGGTGTACTGTTCTCTTTGGGTTCCTGCCCAAGCTTGTGGTGGGAGATAGGAAGGTAAGGTGGGAGACAGGCAGCTACAGGTCATCAGTGGGTGGGGCTTGGGAACATAAAGATCTAGGCTTAAAGAAGACTGAGTTTTCAAGCCGATATGGGGGACACCTTCATGACGCTAGATTAACCACGAAACAAATTCCAGATGGTAAAAAATGTAACAATCTTAAACTTGCTTGGCTTTTTTATGTTCTGAGTCTCTGCTCTGAGGATGTGATATGGCACTTGGATCGCCAGATGGCGATCGAGACCGTAATTAAAACCTGTTTTCTCCATTTCCCCTTTGGAGGGAATCCTCGTGGATACTGGAGTTTTTATAAGGGGCTTTTCCCACGTTAGCTTCGCGTCTCCTTCCATTCTCTCATTACCTCAATCTGTGAGTCTCTACAAAGGGCGTGGTGGTGGTGGTGGTGGGGAGGAGATGGACATTCAAGGAAGGGAAAATAGAGGGTGGGAAGCTTTCCAGACGAGTTACAGAAGCCCTCCAGCTTTAGGGCTTGCCTGTTTTTCCCTCTGTCCTTTTTAAACCCCTTCCCTTCTTAGGCCTGTGTTCTTAATTATGGCAGTCCCCACCCTTATTGGGCAGTCTCCAGCTATGACAACAGAGGCCTGGGCCGAAGAAAAATTGAATTTAATTCTATGAAATTCTCTTATGGATACAAAGCAAAAGGTAGTGATTTAAAACTTAAAAGAAACAAATCTATTTGGCAAATTGGCTGCTCTGTGAGCTCAGGTCAGCCTCCTATTCACCCTGAAATGTCCTTAGGTACTTAGGTGTAGCCTAAGGGCTTGTTGCAGATTATCATGTAAATTCTACTAGCCCCAGGAGGAAACTCAGAATTTTGCCTGGTTTTATTCACTGACTATTCCCAGTGCCTAGGATAGTGCTTGGTCTTAAGAAGGCACTCAGTAAGTCTTTGTTGACTGAAACAATGAACAATTAGAAAACTGGAAGCCCAGATAGTTTAGTTTATCCAAGTGGCAGAACTCAGGTTTGGTGCTCTTTTCACTAGTTTTTATCATTCCCCACAATATATTCATTTTGAGTCTTTTAGTCCCAATCATTTGAATGAAAGACTTCATCCCCTCCCCCTTTTTTAAAATATTGTGATGAAAATATATACACAAGAAGATAGAAGCCAATTTAAGTATTTCTACATAATTAATTCAGTGACATTTATTACCTTCTTCCACTTGTGCAACCATTCTCATTATCCTTTCCCAAATTATTCCATTCATTCCCTCTTAAAGCAATTTAGTCACCAGATGCTTATCATCAGAAGCATCATCTGAATAATATATAAACCAAACCAAAGTCACTGCCGTTGAGTCAAATCCAACTCATAGCGACCCATCCTTGGGTTTCCGAGGTGGTATCTCTATGG